CTTTAGTAAACTATAAAAAGGTAAACTAAATCAAAAGCAAGCACAAGAAAGAAAATTATAAAGATTAGATTGAAAATGAAAGAAATAGGAATTAGAAAAATATTGGGTTTTCAGAAAAGTCATGATGCATTTTTGCAACAAAAAACATAGATAAAACACGTCATGATTTTCTGACAATCCAATAATAGGGAAAATCTGACTCTGGGTGGTGAACATACAGTGTAATACATAAATGATGTGTTATAGAAATGTAAACTTGAAACCTATATAATTTTACTAACCAATGTCACCCCCAATAAATAAATAAATAAAAGCTAAAGAAGGAATTAGTTGACAGGAAGATATAGGAAAAGAAAACACAGCCTGAAGGTCAAAGAGAAAATTATAAGGTTAATAAAAATTAAGCATACATGGAATATAGGATAAAGTGAGGTCAGCATAAATGATATTGGGGTTCCAGATGAAATAAAAGAGTTATGTGAAGCATTAATTGAAAGCATAATTATGGATAATATGCAACATATATAACAAAATATATAGAGAATATTAAGCTAATCATAAAATAATCTATTTGCATGGTTCCCATTGCATAAATTTCTAAAGTGAACATAAACTAATCTAGGATTTTATAGGTCAGGATTGAGCCTACTTTTCAGGAGGATGATTGAAGGGATAAATTATGGGGAGTAAGAATGTTCCTAGTTTGATGGTAATGTGTTATTTGGTGAGTCTGTTCACCTTATTGCAATCCATAAGCTGTACACTTATGGTTGATGTATTTATTTATGTGTATGTTATACATCAAAATAATTGTTCCAAGTGATTTTTGATATTATTGTTACTATTTATAAATACATAGTATTGAAATCATTTAAGAAAAGAAAAACAAACTACTGTAGCTACAGCACTTGCTGCTGAAACCAACCACCCCTTCAATGACTTCCACAAAAGTTCTTACCAACTTTATACAGTTCAGTATAAGATATACTGTACCTTATCTTTAAAAGTTTCTGTCTCTCATTCAATGTGTATAACCTGATTTCTCTTTAAGAATCATTTATCTTAATTTTCCTTCATCAGAAATAATAATTGAAATTATAAGGCTATAAAATTTCTCAAGCATTTAGAAAAAGGTAAAATTTTTGATCCTATAATATATCCCTATAGAACACAAAAGTGTCCCCTGTCAGCAGTAAACACTAACAACATGTGTGGACTCTCATCTGTTATTTTACTTTCAGATTGTCTTGTTCAGTGATCAGAAGAGATTTATTATAAGCATTGATTAGGTTGTCAAAAAAAGAAATGTTTCCCTCACCCCAATCTTGAACATGATTAAATGATTTGTTAGAATTGTTTCCTTATAAAGAGGCCTTAAGTTTGTAGAATGTTTTACTACTTACCAAATCTTTTCACCTTCTTTTAATCCTCATAAGAGTTCTGGGATATATTATAGTTGGGGCAAGTGCTGTTATCTTCATTTTCTAGATAAGGACATTGAGACTCAGAGAAGCAAAGTGACTTGTCAGGCAGTGAGTGAATGGCTGAGTTGGAACTTTAGTAAAATACAAATATTCTCATTGCAAATCCCATGCTCTTTCTAGTTCTTTTTTCCATCTGCTTCACTGAATGATTTACTCATTTAACAGAATTGAAACAGGGCTGTCTCAACACAGCTACAAGAGAAAAGCTCTGCTAATCTAAAAGTACCCAAGAGACAAATCTTTTTCCCCAGATCTCCTTCAGGGTAATGACTATAAAATGGTTACCTTTGATTTACAGCCTCTAGAATCTTGGTCTTTCCCCATTTGGTTTGGTCTCTCAGTTCTCTATCCACTGCATCCATGTTCTGTCCCACTGGTCCTGTCCACCATCAACATTCACTCTGGTTTTTTAATCATTCAAGAAAAAGCAAAGAGTAGTGTTTAAAGTAGGGTTGCCAGACTAAATATAGGATGCCTATGTAAATTTGAGTTTCAGATAAATGAATACTTATTTATTATGAATGTGTCCCAAAATTGCATGGGGATGTATTTATACCAGAAAGTAATTTGTAGTTTGTCCTGAAGTTCAAATTTAACTGGACACTTTGTATTTTTATTTGCTAAATCTGGCAACCCCTAGGTTAACAGCACATGTTCTGACACCAGAATGACTTCATTTAAGTACTAACTCTGACTCTGAGTAGCTGTATGATCCTGGGCAAATTTTTTTAACATATCTGAAATTTAATTTTTTTTTGTCTAAAGTGGGGATAATAATATTTTATATTTAATAAGGTTGTTGAAAGTATTAAATATTGGGTTTTCGGAAAAGTCATGATGCATGTTTGCAATGAAAAACATAGAAAAATACATCATGACTTTTCTGACAACCCAGTAAGATAATGTGAGTAAAGCTCTTAGCAGGGTGCCTATCATATAACAGATACTCAACGTGTTAGCTATTAATATTTTTGAATGACAATGACTAATAATAGCATTATCCCTGTTAAGTAGATGGGCATTTGAAAGGTAATAAAATCTTCAGTTACATGGATAAATCTCTATAGTAGAAATCTAGGGACCTTCTCATAGGCAGCCAGTTTTCTCAGGGCATGGACCTTTTTTATAATTAAACTTAAAGTATAACCCCTCAGTGTCTGAAACAGAAATGACTGTTTTGTTATGAAACACGATGCAGTGTCGGTAGCATTTAAGTCTGAGACAACATATAAAGCAGGAATGATATAAAGTAGTGTTCAGGGCAATCGATGCCAAACACCCAATAGTGGTCCTCTCTTTAGTGTCAATTTGGTCAACAGGCAGCAGGCGATAAATCCTGAAGTCAGCCTGCATCTGGGTAACATACAAATAAGCAAATGACCTTAGAGAAGAACACGGCAACAAAGATTCAAAGCAAGGCAAGAGAGAATCAAAGAAAGTGATTAACAGTGAGGAAGTTCCAGTCAAAGATTTGTTGTTCATGAATACATCTTCATTTACTTAGGAGCTGCAAGAGAAGCAAGACCCAATAGTATTACTGAGCAGGTTTTTGGAATAGGACTTTCAATACTGAATTAGATACAACCAGAAGTGAGGGTCAAAATATTTAACAATTCATATAAATAAGAAATGCCACAGGCACTAAAGGCCCCTGGTTTGTCTGTTCAGTTGGTGAACTGTAAGGAGATACAAGGGCCCAGTAAAAGGAATCAGCGTGGCCAGGGTAGTTGTTGTGGTGGGACACGGAGAGTCAAGGGTGGCAGCTTCATACCAGTTGGCATGGAAATATTTCAACATGTTTAATAATCAGTAGACGCATGCTGGTATGACAACCAAATAGCAGTCCTGGATAAGATTCAAACTAGATTACAAACAGGCCAAGCAGGCAGACCAACCAGTGCAGGTTACCTAGAGCTATGTGTTTATAACTTTCATGGCCATAAAATTAGATTGTGATGATTTACTTTTGTTCTTTGATTCCAAATCAGCTAAAATTCCAATTATCAAAATCCAAATAATTTGATTTCAAATTATTTGATTCCAAATAATTTCAGTGAAAAGCAGTAATTGAATCAATTTTGTTTACCATTTATCCCTATCACTTATCACAGTACTCAATAAATATTTGATTAATGAATAAGCAGCCAGTCAGTTTCTCCTAGTACCTGGAGCGTCCTGAGCAAATGTCTACCTAGAGGATAGAACGTTCTGATAATTCATTCTGTGCTTGAATTGGCCTTGGAGGTCTGCTCCAGGTTCAAGCTGGTCCCATATCATTTGAACCCTTACATATCAATTCCTAAGCTTCACCTAGGGAAAAGAACAATTACATAGCATCCCTAAAGTGGAATTGAACACTTAAAGGAGAGGAGAAGAACCACACAAGTCATAAGAATACTGAGCTGTTTCTTAAACTTTTTCAGTTATATTCAAATTCTATTTGTTAGACATGGGTCCAGTTTACAAGTATAGAGAAAAACAACTTTCAGGAAATAGACTACCTATGAACTTCAGTCACTCTCAGTTAAAACCAAAGTCTTATGACAATTTAGGTCTCATGATAAACTGCCTCTATTCATTTGGGGAAGTGAAAAACAGAACTACATTGCAATTCTGTAAGTGACAAATTTCTCAGCTTTAAATAGAAATAGAACAATTCAAAGAATTAGCTGCCTATAGCAATGATTCAGTGTTTTAATTCATGACAATATACTTTAACTTGATTTTCATAATTTGTATAGATATGTTCTTAAATACAATTATTTAAAGTTTACTTCACAAAATTGTGGCAATTGATGCTATACACTTACACTATAGTAAATATGAAGCCACCACAGAATAATAAGACCATTTTTTAAAATTTCTACTAGACCTTGAGGAAAAGAACATAACAACATGATTGGGGATCAAAAGTCTCAAATTTCCAATAAGCATTTTTCAAAAGAACAGCTATCTTTCTTTTAACATTATGAGAACATTTTTCTGTGACCATTCCTTTTGCTTTTGCTTTCAACTATTATTTTGCTTATTATGGATTTTCACAAATATTTTGCTTATCGGCTAATTTTCCATGCAAATGGCTAGTCACAAAAATACTAAATTGCTTTTAATTTTATTTAATGAATATATATTACTATTGATTTGTTGATTTCTTTCCTTCCTGTATTGATTGAAAAGAATTGTCCACTTAACTGTACAATTATTTCAGTTTATTTCACATGCTATTCCTCATCAAGCCACCTTTCCACCCTTCATCCAAACACACATTATGTAGTAATACTATATTATATTACCTGAAGTTAAATTCATTTTATTTGAAGATATATATATATATATATATATATATATATATATATATATATATNATATATATATATATATATATATATATATATATATATATATATGAATCTACTCTACTCCTGCCCTCAAAGCAGCCGCACAAAGAAGTAAATAGCATGTGGAAAAATATCTCTACAGAGTTATTTATTTTGTTTCTCTGCTTCCAAACACCAGTTTTAATAAGACACAAATGCTAATGGCAAGAGTCAGAAAGTCTGCTTACAACGTTGAGTGGACCAGTTCAGTATTACTTCAATTCTTAAGAAGCTCAGGGAGACTGGCTACTTTGGGAGACTAACCCATAAGACAGATAGAGAAAGCCTAAACCTTCAGGAGTCCAGCATAGACTCTATCCCTTGAATTAGCTTCAATGATTTAAGGACACTCTTGAGAGAAAATTACCTGAGACTGGGTCAATCCCACTTTGAGCCCTACAATAATGACCTGAAATTCAAAGATGAGATATAAATTAACCTGACCTATGCAGGTAGGGAGCAGGGCTCTACTTGGTATCATTCTTAACCTCCTCAACTTATTCCCTGCTCAGAAACAGGATTATCCTTCCCAAATGCTGAAACATTAACATTCTCCATTTTTATATAAGCACAAAACTAATACTTTGAACTCCTGAAAAAGTGAGACAGAAATAAATTTATCATTCCATACATTTTGAACAATGCTTTTAAAGGGAACAGTATGGTCATACAAATGAAATCCATGAAGAAAGACAGAATGAAAAGTGACTACTTAAGGCCAAAATATGTTAAACCACAATCTCATATGCATACTTAATTTTAGCACTAAGTGAAGCCAGTAAAGGTCAGGATAAAAAAAATAACACCAAATGTATCATTTTTCCTTATTTAAATATTGCATTGAATTGTTAGGCCATTTTAACAAGTGGGTATCTTTAGATAATAAGCATTTTAATGGGATATACAAGAAAGAAAAATTGAACAGCACTTCTAAATTTGATACTAGCTAAATACTCTGGCCTTTTATATAATACTATGTAGTCTTAATACTATTTATAAATATATCTGCCTTATAAATAAAGTATTAATACATTATCACTGTATCTAAGGAAACTTCACACCAATAATGTTGTTCAACAACATTTAATTCACTTTGGAAAAACATAAAAAATATCATCAATATTTTATCATTTTATAAGTCATATTAAAATGTACAAATTTAGCAGTAAAGAAGACAATGTACACACAACTGTTTTTCAGTATCTACAATAAACTAAGTCAGTTTTTTCTAAAACCCTTATCCATTGTCTATTCAGAATCAAATGTCTGAATGATGGATATTGATTAGGAGGTTTATGGGGAAAGATGTGGAGGAAATGAGTGATGACGATAAAAACAGAAGATAAATCAGGGGTACTTATTATTAGATCATATTTAAAGAGGATAAAAATAAGGTAGGGATTGTGTGATAAAAAAGAACAAGCTGTGAAGGTATTGGGATAATTCATTATATAAAATTTAATCAAAGGCCAAAGAGATAATTGGAAGGGAATATATGATTGCAAATGCATAAATATTGTTAACATATAAAGCCATCATAACAATTTCATTAGAGAAATTCATACAGTTTTATTTTACAAGCAAAGGTGCATGCCAATCATTTAACTATATCTAGGAGAAGTATAAACTGTTATGTGTAGCCTAGTTTCCAAGTCTACAACAAACAGTACCATTCTTTTAGGTATATTTTGTTAATTAATTAATTGAATTTAGATTCCAAAATTGCCATAACATACTGTTGACTTTCATCCTAAACCAGGATCTTGATTGAGGATAACCTGAGAAGTATAAAAAGTTGACAAGACACCCTCTTCACTTCTAGATGGTGGTTCTCCATACACTTTGTTCTCTTTACCTGTATACTTTCTTTCCACCCATTCCTTGAAACCATCATGCATAGCATAGTGATATAAGAAAGTTGATGCTTGCCCCAGGAAAGTTCAAAAGCATCAAGTTTCAATTGCAAATTTCAATGGCAAATTCTACCCTTTCCTTAAGTATCTTTTCCATAATTTTTTCAAATATCATTTAAATATAACTAAAGTTTGAAGAATTTCCCTTATGTTATTCTGATTGTCAGTGTAAAACACATTCCATATGTTGAAAATAAAAGAAAGGGTATTCAAGCACTGCTCATATGTCTTTAAACATTTTTGTGGAGAAATAAAGCCTCCTGTCTGATATTGTTTCTAGTGGTCCTTTCAGTAGCTGAGAGCAATAATACTTGCCTTATCTCACGTTTTTACTTTTCTGATAAATAAAACTGATGCATGAAAGTTAGGTAATCAATCTGGGATGCTGGCAGATTAGATAAGTACATACAGAATTTACAAATCTGAATGTGGCAACCACAAAAGATGTGAAAATAATTAGAAAATATGGTCATAAAACTTAATTATTAAAATTGTCTCCTAAAATAATGTAGATGTACCATTGGTCAAATAATTTCTCGAAAAATGTAATAACCACACCCCAAAAGATGCCTGATGTGACATGATAAACCAGAGAAAACTATTGTTACTCCAGTCTCTTCAGTCCAACGAACCTATAATTGGTCCCTGAAGTAGACGTGATACAAATTCCCTACTTCTCTGGTTTGATATTTGTAGGTTAGGAGTGCTGAATTCAGAACTGTTCCCTTGGGAAATGTTACAAAGATTACATCTTGCTAAAGAATGTAGGAGAGCTTCCCGTGCTTTTGATGCCTCTATGTTGTGCTCTTGAGAGATGTGAAGGCTAATCTGATTTACATTATTCATTAGAACATTGGAAGTCATAAGATTGGTTATAGAAAGGCACTTAGTGAGATTTTCTTCCAAAAATTGTTTGTAGAGTTCTTCCACCTTTTTTTCCATGTAACTATTAAGCATAGAGTTCGAGAGGGGCTGCTTATGAAGCAACATACTTTTTTCTCGAATTTCATCCCCATTCAAAAGTTTTGAGGCAGGTGGTTTCTCTAGGGGCTCACTGATAAAAGAATGACCCAGCGGCATATCTACTGAAAGTAAAAGGGGACCATTAAAAGCATCATCACGTACATGTTCCACAAAGCAGCCTGAGTCATACATGTTCCCCACGTGGTCTCCTCCGATCTGTAGGTCAGGATAATTTTGGCAAATACTTGTACATGACCAAGAACGGTATAAATCCAGTTGTCTTTCATCATGTTGTTCTCTTTTTGGAATAGGCAATGCAACAGACACATTTCCTGGCAGGGATGCACTTTTGCATTTTGCTACAGTTATCTCATCCACTGATTTTATTTTATTTGTATCATTAATTTGCTGTGTTAAACTTTCTTTCACAACCTTATGTTGATTTTCCATTTGATCAGGAGAAAGTGAATTGTCTTCTATATCTAAAAGCTGCTTTTTCCAAGTTTCCTTTTTATCATTTGAGGTCTTCTTACATGTAAGTGGATTGCAAAAGGTATATGTCTGTTCTTTGTATAGGAGTTCAATTAAGAAGGCTTCTCCAAGCATTTTATTAGGCCAGGATTCTGAACAGGACACTGCAGTATATTCCTGTAATATAACAGATTAGGGCAACATACATTAAAGTGTCAAATTAAGATTTATCTTCTACATGAAACACAAGTGATTTAGAGAGGCAGCATTGCTCAAAGTATAGAGAATAGAGCCAGGAGTAAGGAGCTTGGGTTCTGATTCTGCCATCAACTTTTTAATATCAGGTAACTTATTTACCATTCTTGGGTCTCAATTTTCCTATCAATTAGATAGTTGTAATAATACTCTCCTGCCTTCTTCACAGCATTATTTTCAGGATAATATTATATGGTGTACATGCAAGTGTCTTAAAAAGTACAAACTTATACAAATGTTTATATCAGCTGCCATAAATGATTTATTTTAAAGTTATTAGTTAAACTGCCTAACCTTTTCTCTATCTTCTAATAGTCTAGTTAAAATCAAGCCTGCTTGCAAGAAATTGGTCTTAATTTAACTGTATTTTAACTAATGTCATTTGAATCACACATTGAAAAAAAATGTTATACCTTAGAATGTGTACAAGAGATGGATATTTATATATAGTTTGGACTCATGAGCACTTTCAGATTTAAGCTACAAATATAACCACTTACTTTTTCAATAATCTAATTGGAAATAGAAATTCATAAAGATAGAAAGTAGAATAGAGGCTTCCAGGGTCTGGGGGGGAGGAGAGAATGGGCAGTTAGTGTTTAATGGACACAAACTTTCACTTTTGCAAGATGAAAAAGCCCTGGAACCAGAGTGGCGATAGTTGCGCAATATCAATATACTTAACGCCACTGAATTGTACACTTAAAAACGGTTAAAATGTTAAATAAATAAATAAATGCAAATAAGCTTGTCAAAGTCACTACCATCCTTTTTACTTTTGTCTTTCCTTTTCCTTCCTTCCTTCATTCCTTCCCTCCTTCCTTCCCCGCTCCTTCTTTTCTTTCTCTCTCTCTCCCTCTCTCCCCCACCCATTCCTCCCTCCCTCACTCCTTCCTCCCTTCTTTCCTTCCATTCTTTTGGATCTAAATATTAGTTCCCAAAGCACTTATTGCAGTCTTTTGCATAAATTGCTTGCAATTTTAAGACTCCCAGTTTTCCATATAAACTCTATAAGTGTGCAAAAGGAAAAAGCAGACTTGATTCAAGATACAATTTTCCTTTTATAGATCTATAGTGTCTACTATACATGTTTCTGGGAAACTTACTTATTCATACTTAAAAGCTTTTCAGAAGAAAATGAAACAATACAACCCCCCAAATGTAAACAATTAGACTTACCTTTCCCAAATGTCAGGATACTTAAAGATTTAGTCTTCTAAGATTCCAACACTCCAAACACAGGAAAAGTCCTTTTTGGCTTATTTGTTTCCTAGCTTTTGCTTATACCTCAGACAGATAACTTCAACCACACAAAATGAAATACTTCTGCTTTCTATTCATGCCCTAGGACCAAAGCAAACTAGTAGGAAAATGATGTGGGTTGATCACATATATGGTATGGTAATGATCACATACCAAAAGAGGATCTTGAAAGTGTTTATTCAAGATGCAAATGACAATGACAGTGGGAAATGTTAACAGCAATAGTTTCCTACATTCAAGTAAAGACAGAGACAAGGTTATTTTAACATTTTAAGTAAAAAAAGCAGCATAGAAACAAGCATATTTTGTAACAATGAATAACTAAAATAAATTAAATGACCATCAATAAGACAATGTGTATATAAATTATGATGCATCTATTACATGAAATACTAAACTAAGGATTTTTAATACTGGAATGATAAAAAGCATCTATTAAGTAATTACTAGAAAACAGTCATTCTAAATTTTTTAAACGTACTATTTAACTTAAAATAGAAGCTATTATCTACATCTTACAAAGAAACAAAGACAGAGAACAGTTATATACTCGTTGAAGGTCACAAAGCTAGTAAAGGTGGAACTAGGATTGTACCAAGCAATTGGATTCAGAACCCATGCTCTCAATCACTACACTGTATTGCCTCAATGTGGACTAATGGAATGCCAGTTGCAGAACAACATATACAGTATGATTCCATCATGTATTGAGCATGTACTATATGCCAGGCACTTTTCTAAATACTTCACATGTACTGATTTAATCATCATAATGTATGAAACAGATATTATAATCTCCACTTTACCTATGAAGAAGTTGAAGTACAGAGAAGTTAGATAAGATGCTCAATATTACACAGCTGTAAAGGGTAGAGTCTGGGTTTCAACCCAGGCAGTCTGGCTTCAAAGACTGTGTGGTTAACTTCCATACTATAACTGACTTTTTCTCCCTTTTAATTGAATTAATATATGCAATCATGTTTGTGGGAAAGGATAAAAATCAAACTGTTAATAGAGGTTTCCTCTGGGAGGAGGGAGGCAGGGATAAGATGACGGGTAATTTAACTTTTTACTCCCTGTATTTCTATATGGTTTTAATTCTCCTACAATGAACATGTATGTATTATTTGCACAATTGAAAAATAAATAATTCACATACATAAAAGGACAAGAAATAAATTATACTACCTTCTTTAGAAATTATTTTCACAATCTCACAATTGTCTGCCCCACTAGAATGGTTTTGAGGCCAAATTGTCAAGTTAGACTGAGAAACATAAACAAAATTTCTACATAGTTGATACTTCCGGCCACAATTATCAATACAGCTTTTGTTTTACAAATAATTATTTCAAAATAATTATTTCAAACGTCCCATAGAATAGGTTAATTCTAAATTTGAATGCCATACCAATCAATTTATTTTAGTTTGTCAAAGATGTCCTCTTGTAAGAAATAGTGTATTAATTTAGCTTGGAACCAAGAGAATGGCTAATAGCAAAAGGAGAAAATATGTCTCAATCACACACCAGGAAAATGGTAAAAAGAATTATTAAAAAAATCAATTTTCTACCACTGCTACTACAAAAGGATATTAAAAGAAAATGGAGATCTCAAATTGTTCCTAACCTAGACTCCTTCATTAGTTACATCCTACTTCCTTTACCTCCAGCACCCCTGTATCCTGCTGATCCAAATTCTAGCAGCCCCCTATCCTAAATATCTCTGTCTTTCTCTGTCATTTTGTTCTTGGATTGCTGCAGCTGCTTCCAATATTGTCCCCTTTCAAATCCACTAGACATGTTAGATTGATTCATCTTTCACACAAATCTGCTGAATCCTTCAGTGGCTCCTATTCATCCACTGGTTAATAATAAGAACAATTTATTGAGTGTCTTATAAGTGAAAGATGTTCTTAGGCAACATCCGCACTTACATAATCTTCTCAGCAAATCTGCACGTTATGATTTTCCACACTTTTACGAAACAGGAAACAGCCTCAAAAGGACTAATAAGCATAGTCTAACATGGAACCTGAAGGACTATGTGTTTTCCCCTGTTTACTTTCTCAGCTTTTATTCCTCCACTTGTTCCTGAAGCTCTAATTACCATGTTGCTTTATGACTGTTCCTTCTACCTAAAATTCCTTTATTCTTATAATTTCCTGACAGACTATACATTCTCCTGGTTTTAGTTTAACTCTCAACTCTTCAGGCATACATGCTTTATAGCCTGGTTAATATTTTTCTACGTTGCATTTACCTCATCTTATCAGTTATCACTCTTGGAGTTCCTTGAAGGTAAATGCTTTTTCTTACTCATATTGATGCATTTGTTCCCAAGCAGCATGCAGAGTCTGGCACTTATTAGCATGAATTATAATTATTATCACTATCTGAACTACCTGTATGTCAGACCATGTGTCAAGCACCTTTACATACTCAATTCATTTAATCCTCACGATGATGCTGTCAGGTAGGCATCACCATTTCACTTAAACAATAGAGAAACTGACATTCAGAAAGAAGTATTTTGCCCAAGATCCATAATTATTAAGTGGTAGAGCCCTGGAATCCAAGTTTACTTTACACAAAAGCTGGTGCTAAGGTTCTTTGACCCTTCACTCTCAATTTCCACTGCCCATTTTTGGGATACCCCAACAATCCTTTAAATGTTATCGCTATCTTCAACTACCAGAAAAGGTTAAAACTTGACTGACAACAATGGCTGGAATAATGAGCTATGAATTTATTGAAGAGGAAGCTGACATTAAAGCACAAGGTCATCTTTTTACACAGGGAGGAGAGGAAGTGGTAGGAGAGTCAGGGACTATTGCACCCACAATTACGCAAATGAAAAAGGTCAACTCCCAGAAGGAAAGGATGCCCTGCAAACATCTCAAAAAAGGAAGGATACTGGAGAGGGAAAGGAGGTACCTCCCTGTGATAAAAGAAAAGGTAACAAAGATTGATATGGTGGTTCCGTCTTGTCTAGATAAGCATCAGCACCATGTGCTCTGTCCCTACAAACCTAGACAACACAAGTTTTAATTTATCTCTTTTCTTCCCACATCACATTGCATTTTGGCCATTGTCTCCCTCAGTTGTCTTGGCCCTTCATTCTCAGCCGCGGTTGCCAAGCAGGAAAGCTTGCGCTGACCACCAAGCAGGGAGATGGGAAAGCGGGCAGAAGGAATGCAGAGACCATTTGCTCTCCCGCCTCTCCTCTGGGCCTTGCAGATGAGAAAAGAGTGCGTAACTGGAGTTTATCATCCATAGGAGTTCACCCCCTCCCCCAAGGCTGATGGGAGCTACTGCCTCCTTGTCACCAGGCGCCCTGCATTCCCTGAATGGGCCCTTTCCTGCGTCACAAAGGCATTTGTTTCCCAGCGAATCCTGAGTGCAGCAGCCGCTGGTCCTTAGCAAGGGAGCTGAAGAAGGGCCCTGCCAAGCGTTAGGACTTTGCAAAGCATAGCTGAGCCAGAAACAGTGGCGAAGTGGCTAACTCAGGGTTACTTCTGCATGGTAGCCTGGACGTGGAAACAATGAGCTCCATTAAAGTCTATTATACCAGCGTGTCAGGGTCTAGGGAGGTGAGTGAAAAGAAAAGGGCCTCAGCAGGCGAAAGAGACTAGAGCGAAAACATTCTAGTCGGGAACTTCAGGATTGTGCTAAGACATTACCATTCCCTTCCTGCATTCCATTCTTCAGCTCCCTCTTCTCTAGGTGTTAGGGAGTGGAAGGGGGGGGCGGAGAACTGAGAATGTGGTTAATGTCCTCACCCAGGTTGTACTCTAGGGACTGATTGATCTGGGAGGTTTCTGTGTCCTGAGGTCACCCATCTTAAGGGCTTACAATAATTTTGTGGATGTTTCAAATGGAAGGGATAAATAACCCTGCTTAGGATGGGAGAGGAAAAATGGCTCAAGTCCTCAAAAGACTGGATAACCCCAGGCAGACAAACTGATTTTCAATTTTTAAGAAGGTGTATTTGCACAGATCAGACATTTCTTACAGTTTAGATGAATTATTTTGACCAGGATATAAGAAATACACGGGACAGTGCTTTCCAATACCAATATATTGCCAGTCACAAGTGTCATTTTAAATTGTCTAGTAGCCACTTAAAAAAAAGATGAGATTAATTTTAATATATTTTGTTTAACATAAAACATACAAAATTTTATTGTTGCAATATATAATCTGATAAAATATAGATGTTATATATCTTTATTTCATATTAATATCCAAATTGAAGTATGTATTTTGCACTCACAGCATATCTTATTTTGGACTAGCCACACTTCAAGTGCTCAATAATTATATGTGGCTAGTGGTTACCACATTAAACAGCTCAGTTATAGAAGGATTATTACACGGCTAAGAACCTCACTTGGCAAAGTTTTTGGAGAAGCATGGAAATTGAAGGATTTGGAATTGATTATAAATGGCTGACAAACATTTATCACATTCCTGCTGTGTGTCACAACAATGAAAGGTACAGGGAGGAATGAGAATTGATCTCAGCCTAGAAATAGTGTATTGATTTTGCATAAAGCCTTGTCAGGTAGATTAGAGATTTTATTTGGGTACAAAGAAATGAAAAGAAGCAGTTTGAAAAAGAAAACTGTGGACCATTTTACTAGCTTTTTTTTATTGTTGTGATTTATGTTATTGTATGTGGTGTTAAGAGTCTGTAAGAGGGAATTATTTGGAATCGGTAATGACCACTATGGATGCAGCAAAGAACTCACCCAATTGTTGATCTGTGTCTCTCAAACTGTAACATAAAAATCACCTGGAGGGCTTGTTAAAACATTCCTGGGACCCACTCCCAGAAAATCTGATTCTGTAGTTTTGGGGTGGGGTAAGGCTGATACTGCTGGTCTTATGAACATACACAGTCAAACTAGTACTGGTCTAAGCAACTCTTCTCTTAATGGGTTCCTCTGAAAAGGTTTTGAAAAACCACTATGAAGATTTAGGTCACATGCACCATGCTTTTGCAATTTTAAAAACTAAAGACCACTTCATGGATGGGGTAGAGGCTTGACCACTGCACGTACACCTGAAGCTGATGTATAATATTGTATGTCAACTATAATTGAATATATATATATATATATATATATATATATATATAGACATGGGATGTGGAGTATAGTGTGGGAGTGGAGTC